AGAATTACCAGCCACAGTATCACAACAATCGCCACTATTCGCAATATTTCTACTAGTCACACTAAAACCTACTCATACTGTTGCGAGTGCTACTGATAACATTTATGAATTATTATTATTATTGTATCCTTTAGTTCCTAGAGGAGCATAGGGCTTCAGCTGCGCACCTCCATTGCCTTCGGTTTTCTGACAACTTTTTCACCCTGCTCCAGGTATGTCCACATGCTTTCATCTCCTCCTCGCATGACCTCCTCCAAGTCACCCTTGCACTGACGACCAACTCGCCGCCTCCCTTTCGGGTTCCACTCGAGGGCTTGTCTAGTGATGTTACTTGATGGTTTCCTCAGCGTATGGCCAATCCATCTCCATTTCTTTCTGCCTATTTGTTTCACAATCGGTTCCTGATTGGTTCGCTCATTTCCAGAGATCCCTGTTGCTGATCTTTTCTGGCCAGCCATCTGATCTTGAGTATTGAGCTGAGACAGCTGTTAATGAAGGTTTGAAGTTTGTTTGAGATGCTCTTTATGACTCGCCAAGTCTCTGATCCGTATAGTAGCACTGACTTCACATTGGAGTTGAAAATCAATAGTATATAAAAATACGTTCATCACCATAAAAATATGAAATAGTAGGGAGATACAATTGATTTCAGAGAAGGCAAAATGATAAAACGTTGCGGAGATAAATGAGAGATGTGAAAAGGATGCAAAGAAGCGCAACACGAAGATCTGTGCAAATGGTATGTTAAAGATAAGGTATATATAATTTAGCTATATAGATAGATACCAAGGATTAGATGTGTCATTACGAGATTGACCACGGACTGATATTAGTTACAGAACCATTTGAAACAGGCAGGAAGTACTAGACAGCTGCTTCCTCTTAGTATGGGAATCATGGGCAGTACGCACCCACCACAGTGGGGCTCGAACCCAGGTTCTTACGGTTACAAGTCAAGCTAGATTGTATACAATTCAGTCAATAGGACCCACTTCAGTGGTCAGCCTATGAATTCTAACTTCTACAAAATTCAACCAATGACGGTGATTTTGTGGATCAAATCATAATAATTATGTGGGAAATGTTTTGAGCATAATTAATAACGATGATTATAGTGATAACTAAAACTGTTCCTAAAATTGCAATTTAATGGTGATGCGGCTAGCGAAGTCTTAAATTGAAGATTGTCGAGAGTGATAAAATGGACTTATACTGTCGCCACCACCCTGTGTTCGGCAATTTCCAGTTGTCGACCACTCACGATTATTAAAGTGAAAGACAAGCCACTTCTATGTATATCTACAAATTTAGTTGCTCCTGTGGAGAAGACTGGCTATATAGGGCTAACAGCTAGATAGCTTAACAAACGTATTAATGATCATCTTCCTCCATGGTCCCGAAAAGGTCAAATAAAATCTATAAGAAGTTCTATATTAACTCATTTGACTGATGATAGCGGTCACCGAATGGAAAGAAATAATGCATTCAGAGTTATCTATCGCATTTCATCGCACCTTTCCAACGGAACTCGAACCCTCCTGCTATACACATCGCCGAAGCTAATGGGAATTAATTCGAGAGAACAATCCTGTCTGTGTCTTTGCATACAACAAAAGAAGTTTGTTCTACCTTTGTCTCTCCCACGCACCCTCTCTCATTTTCCATCTCCTTCGTACTTTGGTGATATTTATTTGAATTCTGATTATCTGCCCACTTCACCGACCTTTAGTATTACGTAAATTATAAGATTTGACTTAATTTAACTATTTATTGAATTGTCTACATACACACACATATTGCTACCTTTGTTGTTCTTATCGCCATCTGCATAAACCTTATTATCAATATTTTGTTATCATTATAATCATCTTTATTAATTTCGTTCAAAACTTTTACCACACTGTTATTATTATTATTATTTGATCCACTAAATCACCATCATTGGTTAGAATTTTTTATATATAAGTCTATGTAAATTAGAGTAAAGCCTGAATACCATCTAATTGGAAACAATATTGTTCAATTATATGTCTTGTTCTAATATAAACAATGGGAATTTATAAACAGTCAGTCAGATATCACACCTGCGGTAGGGATGAAATAGATTAGGCAAATATCAAACGAGGATATGTCGTTAGCGATCGGGGATGATGCAACAATTTTCTCAAAGTGAGAATTTTCAACAAACTGAAATCCACTATTTGTCAGTACAAATATTCGAAATATTTTTTCTGTGTGTGTGTGTGTCTGTGTGTTTCTTAAAACAAGGGTGGCATTGAATGAAAGTGCTGTTTTTAATAAAAATGCCGAGGAAGTTTACCAATCTACTGTTGAGGAGTCCGTTAACAATAATTAGTCAGTATCAACAGGTCAAATAATGTATGTGGTAATCAATCGAGAAAATTAATACAAGCAATTAAAGGATAAAAGCAACTGTCAAAATTAAATAAGTGGATTGCATAATGCATAATTTCGGAGAAATAAGGACTACTCAATATTCGCAAACCACAAGCCTTTATATAACGACTGCAATTCGACAGCGATACACCTAGCGAAATAATTAAGAAGAAGTTAAGAAAATCAGTTCGAAGAACTTTTAATGCCGGTAAACTACATGTTTTATTCTCTACACGATCGATGGGGATGCCACGATTGAAAGATGAAGTAGCTAGACTTGCTAGTCACTTCCAATTGTTTCTACCAATTCCAATGCACATGTGATGGAGGGAATTATATTGGCCGTTACTCTAGGAACTTGATTTTTCGTGATCGATCGAGAACATTTACCACTGTGCGTAAATAAAGGTGCAGTAAGAAAAATCGATAGCTCCATATTAGAACACCTGTTCCGAACCGGCTACAAAGCCGGCCAGCATTGACGAATCCTTCTCTATCAGATATCGGGCGCCAAATAAATTGCCAAAGTCATTGAAGTACCGCATACTCCAAACAACAGAGACTATCACGATTCGCGTGAAACAACCAGTGCTTTGTGTGCAAAAGAAGCAAGTTCAGCCATTAATACTACCCTGGCTGTTCGCTTAAATGTCTTATTCGAATATATGTATATAAAAATGAATTATTTAGGGTATATGTCATTTTATATACTGCAAAATGAGGTCTAACTTCTTCATAGAAGCAGATATCGTAAATAAACAAGAATCTACATGAGCAGCAAATTTTTGGGATCCACTAATTCTGATGAATAATTGATTTTGATGATGCATATAACCTAATGATGATAGTCCTATTGCTCAGCACTTCCAATGAATGCTGTCCATAATAATCGTTGCAAATTTCACTCTAACGTCAACCATAACCTTACCTTAATTCTAACCTAACCCTTACCCTGAATCAGGATGATTTTTTGCAATGAAGATTACGAAAAACAATCATCTGTTATGCTGACCGATCGGATGGCTTGGTTCAAGGTCATTTTACTGTGGTATCTATTCCTCACTCTTAGGAATACCTAGTTGAGAACCATTTAAAACCAGGGAGTACTGAACATCTGTTTCGTTTAAACCTGTGACTCTTCAGTGGTATACACCCCCTGAGATTTGAACCAAAAGTGTTCCAGTTACAAAGCAAGCTTGAAAAAAATTCAGGAGTCGATGCCCATTTTAATAGCCCATAAATTTTAACTTCTACCAATATAGGTTTCAGTGGGATATGGGGTATGAGGTATATTCACTGGTGTGTGAGAAATATGAACAAACAAATGAGAGGTACACTGAAAGTAATTTCGAGGGCTGATCAAATAGTGGACTGTAATCAAATAATAAAGGCAAGATAAGCTTGGTGCAAATTACAACCGATGAAGAGTTTAAAAGCAGAATGAAATAACATTCTAGTACACCTTGGTAGTTTTCAGAGCTTCATCAGTTGATATCTCATTCACCCGGGATGAAACTTGAAAAACAGACTAAATTCCTGCGAACTACCAATTGAAAATTATTATTATTATTATTAGTAGTAGTAGTATCGTGTATCGCCTAAATAACATTTCTAAAAATTAGTATCAAGCATACTCAAATGCACCCACACACACACACACACACTCAGACATGCACGTAGACACACTTATTCAATCATTCCTTTATTCATACACTGTCATCATTTATAATTATGATTTATTGGCTTTTATGAATTTAAATTTTTATGCATTCATGTTGTGTGAGCCATAAAAAAAACCTTAAAAAAAGTGGCACACAGACATTCTCAGACACACTCACACTCACGCTCACAGATACACACACACACAGTGAAACGATAAAATCTCACAATCTGTTGTTATGGCAAAAATGTAAAACTGAAGTGGAAATAGTAGTATTAGTATTATCATTAATAATAGTAATGGCGTTTTACACTAACTCAATCGCTCACTCACTCACTCGACAAACCAACCAAGTATGTAAATAGATGTGTATGGATTTATTGCTTAGTGTAAACGTTGTAACATTCATTCCTCCACTCGCCTTCCACTCCCCCCCTCCCGCTGTTACCACCACCCTTCAGAGAGAAGCTAATTCTTACTCTTTTTCAAAAGTGATGAAGTAAGGAGTAATGAAATGCACCATTTTGTTAAAATAACTGATAATAAAGACAAACTGAATGCTAAGATTTACACCAATCACAATGTAGGTGCTATTTATTACTCAAGATTGATTGATTGATCGACTGACTGATTGCATGTTGTACGTCTGTGCATGTGTGCTGTGTTTGTGTGCATTCGTGTGTATTAATGGTGTATAATTATTATTAGAAAGGTGTGCAAGTGAGTTAGCTAGGCAGCTAGTGAGTGAGTGAGACAGAGGTGTGTGTGTAAGTGTGTGTCGGTATGTATGAGTGTGTGTTTACATGCATAAATAGATTACGGAAAGTATTCAGTCTGGTATACATATAATAGTTTGCCTTTTTTCATAGAAAATTCTACTATCGAATTTGATCTATAGCAAAAACGTTCAATTCTTCTAATCACTAAATTTGTCTAGCAGTCCATGGAGAGTCGTAGTGCAATGATCCAACAACGCAGGCCTTCAGTAAGATTATATAACTTATTTTTTCTAAATAATTTTATTGATTGTTTGTTATTTAAAAATTCGTGAGTAATCTCTGTCTAAGTATTAGTGAAAATGCGCAGAAAACAATTAGTTAAGTGATGAGACTCTTTTCAATGGATTCATCTACCTCTTTAGCTGTATAGTTGCATTTAGATATAATAATTTTACAAAAGAGGTTTGGGTTCCAAGTGGAACTTAGGTCAACAGACAACAGCACATTATCTGCAGTCTCCTTTAGCTAGCTCCACGATTTACCAAAGTCTGTCATCTCCTTCCGCTCACACGATCGCTTCCATGTCAAGTTTCACTCGAGTGAAGGTTTAGGACGCAATATCACCCAATTGTCTGCTCAGTAACTCTTCGATCCCTCTTCATTTTCTTCAGCATATTTGCTCAGCAATAGATCCTTGATTCGTTCTTTACCAGAGTTCCTCATTACTAATTCTTTCCAATTATCAGCCATCTGATCCACATAGAAGCGTTCACTGGCTTACCACTGATGGTGATCTGTCATGCCTTTCCGATCCTGTCTGTCTTTAATGTCCTCACTTGTTAGTGTAAAATATTCCCATATCATGAATTAGAAGTCAATCTGAACGAAGAATATTCTTTTCAGTAATTTCTCCTCTTCAGGTTCTTACAATTATAAAATATGCAATATTTGTGGTCGTTACTTACAATAAAGGCCAGTTATGCGGCGGATACATTATTTAACGTAGAATAACAGATTAGTAGTTATGGCGTGTCAAAATAAATAGTCGAACTTGTGTGACAAACGTGCTAGTAGGCTGAAATCGATTGCAAAATATTGTAGAACGGGAGACATTGGTGGTGAATAATCGTAACAGAATTGTAGAATGTGGGGTAGGAAAATTGACAAGTCAGTTCAAGGTTATAGAAGGTGTCAGGTGAGTGAGTGGCTAGTACAAAGTGGTCTGTGTAACAACAAATATTGCATTTTATAATTGTAAGAACCTGAAAAGAAATTGTTGAAAAGAACATTCTTCGTTTAGATTGACATTTAATCCTCATTTGTGCCACCTCCTGTTTTGAAATGCTGGCGCGTAGATAATCGAAGCAAGGGATCTCCTTCGAAACTCTCCCGCTAACAGAGATTTATGTGATTGTTGTCATTAATTGGTCAACTTTATCACCTTCTTCCAACTGAAGTCCCGTCTCTGGTGTCTGCCTCTTCAAACAGTCTGTTGGTTTCTGCCTGTAGGTTTTCGACTTAATGTGACATTAAGAACACAGTATTCAGCGAAGAGACTCTTTTCAACAACGAATTTATTATCAAGCTGTACAATCGTATATATACATGATTATTTAAGACATTATATCCGGTAAGGGAATTAGGTCAAAGGTGTGAATACATGAAATAATAATAGTCGTATGAAATGCAATTAAAATATTTGTGATTATATTCATGGTTTAATGTCAAGTGTCAAAATAATTAATGTCATATATAGAATAATACATAAGGTGTATAGATTTTGGAAAGGGGAACATAATTATAAGATTAGCAAACGAATATATAAATGTTACATAACATAGTGTGAAAACTGATAATATAGAATTCATTATTGAAAAAAATAAAAATATAAAAATTAATAATTTTGGGTTTAGAATGACAAGTGGGTCAAGTGGAAAATTAATTCCCTCACCGGATATAATTTCTTAAAAAAACCATATATATATACATATATACGATTGTACAGCTTGATAATGAAAACGTTGTTGAAAAGAGTCTCTTCGCTGAATATTGAGTTCTTTATGCTACAATGGGAATTATTAAATTATTGAAAAAATGTGACATTAGACATATATTTAATCCGCGAAGTTTAGATAGTTGAGTCCTTTTATCTGTCTGTCTGTCTGTTTTCGACATAGAACTTTGCGCAAATGTGCGCCAGTTTAAGTCGCCACACTCCGTGTAGCACGCGAAGCAAGAGAAGAAAGTACAAGAAAAGCATAATAGAAACAGTGAGCAGAGGTGTGAGACAAAGGAGGAGTAATAACGAAGAACAAAACAGTTTCATTGGAGATCATAAGTCACAAGGAGTGGATGCATCTGAGCTAGCCACTGAGATCGATTTTGAGCCATGTCACCAATTGTTTCCAACCATAGATTTTTACCGTCCCGAGGACCCCAGCCTGGAAGTCTACACCTTTCTACGTGGCTTAGACCAACTGTTGTGGATTTCATTGACTGATGCCAAGTTTTTGTTTGACCGCCGCTACCTTTTTTCCAGCCTGACCCTATACCCGCTAACATTGCTCGTCGAGGGAGGCGATGGCTTGGCATACGTAACATATGTCCTAACCATCTCAGTCGATGTAGCTTCACGACTTCGTCGATTGATTTCCCCTGTTTACCTAGAACTCTACGCCTAACCTCAATGTTGCTCACCTTATTATGCCACTTTACACGGGAAATAGAACGCAGGCACCTATGATCAAAGACAGCCACTCAGGCTGTTCATGTCTTCCACTCTCAGTGGCCAGGTCTCACAACCATAAAGGAGGACGGAGCGGACTGATGAGCAGTACACCCGCACTTTGGTCGATAGTCGAACATCTCGTCTACGCCAGAGTCGGCGTAAACTGGCCAATGCGAAACGAGCCTCCTGTATTCGTGCTGAGATTTCGTCAGAGATCAACCCGTCGGGGCTGGCTGATGGTACTTCCCAAATAAGTGAAACGGTCAACGAGCTCTACCACTTCACTTTCTATTTCTAAACTAGGAGTCAGTTTGGTCCAGTCCTGTAACATCATCTTGCATTTTATCGCTTCAACACATTCCTATTTGCTTCCTCCTCAGACAGTCTGCTGCACAAGGTGATGCGTGGTCATAATCATAGTTTCTGATATTAATAAATGAATAAAAGGAGTCCAATAAGCTCACTAGATTTACTCAGTACGACTATTAATTTAATGAATGAACTATAATCAGGATGAGAATTGTAACGAAGGAGACTGTGTTACCACGTCAGAATTAAAAAAAGAAATACACGAACCTTATTGAGTTCACATATCAAAGAAAGGAAGAAAGATCGAGTCAGCATAAAGCGGTATTCATAATAATGATGATAGAAGTGGTTGAACAATTTTATTTTGTATGTATACCTACAGTTTTATTCTAACTGAACGCCTAAAACTTCAACAGTGCAGAGAGGACGAAAGCGTACCAACTTTGGTAGATTACTCTTCACTTTGAAGAAGGAGGACGAATGTGTTAAGAAGCGATGTTCTACAATCTCACTCCTTATAGAACCACCATTTCTACCTATCTGCAACCATTTTGGGAGGATAGTATTCTTGAAGCCTTTTAGAGAGGATACCCATCGAACGATCAATATAACTTGCTCCACAGGAACAGACGAACTGATTATATTTACACAAAGCAAGAACAATAGTGGTTTCTGAAAACTATACTTTGTAACTATAGTTTGAATTTGTTATATATATTTTATAGTCTGTATTTAACGTAATTTCTTGATTATGTATTAACTTGTGCCTAATGCCTGAGAATTAACTTATCGTGAATTCCGTAGTTATATTCAACCATTCTTCAAAATTTAGACATCTTGTTACTAACCTCTATTAGTTAATAGTTTTGATGACTTTTAACCCCTTAAATTTCACACACACCCCTTTCCCTTATACCTAAAACTGATTAACTAAAGTAACCACTTGACTTGTAAAATTTCGGTGTAAATGAAACTGCGTATTAGTGTAGAGCCAACCAATGATGAGGAACTAACTGAAGAGGAATGCATATTTCTTCGCCAAATCTATCATTTCGTTTTCAAAATGCATACCCATCTAGATTCATTGACAAGGACATTAAACTAAAAGATCAGAGAAACAAAACACTATTTGTAAGAAGAGGGAATCAAACTTCACATGAACATTGATTTCAAGGGAGACGTAACGTGTGATATCCCTAACACAAGAAGCCTGAAAAATCGGACGTCACATTTGACCACTTCTATATGTGTATATAAATATCATCAGTTCTTCATGCATTTATTCCCCTTGATGAATTTGCATAAAGCAAGAACAACGTTGGTGGTTTATGCAGAATAATATGGTACCATCATTGCTTATTTCGTTGGCTACATTGTTACCTAACTTATTAGTCACTCTGTATCTAACGCATATTTCGTATTTATTACGTGACTCCTTTACCATAATATGCATACATTTTTTTTTTTAATTTGAAGTTGAACTGACTGTGTAAAAACTATATAAGCGCAATTTTCTGAGCACTGTCTACTAATTGTAGAACTTTCTGTGAACTGACAACATGTAAAATTTGCAAGTATTTTGATGTGGTTTTGTTCTCTGAGCTATAGATGGAGTATGCGCTGAAGATGTCACCCAGCAGGGTGATCAAAGCTTCGCAAATTAACCATCCAGCTCAGAGAACAAAACCACATCGAAATCATCCACCTGAGCTACAAATCTTCTCTATCATATTTGCAAGTATGTTAAAACGTTTCTGTACTTACACCTGATAATTTATCTAGAATATATGCAGCTCAGCTTGTGAGAAGCCAACGAAATAAGCAATGATGGTACCATATTATTCTGCATAAACCACCAACGTTGTTCTTGCTTTATGCAAATTCATCAAGGGGAATAAATGCATGAAGAACTGATGATATTTATATACACATATAGAAGTGGTCAAATGTGACGTCCGATTTTTCAGGCTTCTTGTGTTAGGGATATCACACGTTACGTCTCCCTTGAAATCAATGTTCATGTGAAGTTTGATTCCCTCTTCTTACAAATAGTGTTTTGTTTCTCTGATCTTTTAGTTTAATGTCCTTGTCAATGAATCTAGATGGGTATGCATTTTGAAAACAAAGTGATAGATTTGGCGAAGAAATATGCATTCCTCTTCAGTTAGTTCCTCATCATTGGTTGGCTCTACACTAATACGCAATTTCTTTTACACCGAAATTTTACAAGTCAAGTGGTTACTTTAGTTAATCAGTTTTAGGTATAAGGGAAAGGGGTGTGTGTGAAATTTATGGGGTTAAAAGTCATCAAAACTATTAACTAATAGAGGTTAGTAACAAGATGTCTAAATTTTGAAGAATGGTTGAAAATTAACCACGGAATTCACGATAAGTTAATTCTTAGGCATTAGGCACAAGTCATTACATAATCAAGAAATTACGTTAAATACAGACTGTGAAAATATATATAACAAAGTCAAAGTATAGTTACAAAGGGAAGGGGAAAAGCCCTTCTTAAATGTCTTAACACAAATTATGTAGTTGGTCATGGCAAAGAAAGAGGATGCACAAATTTCTGTTGAAATCGTGAAAAATATCCATCGGGACATTAGAGAGAAAAGAACACGAAGTTCACCAAAGATATCTGCCTCTTCGGCGATTTCATTCTCAAAAACTGTACAATCGCATTTATATACATAAGTTCACATGGATACAATTATTATTTGTTTAATTCCACATAGTAACGAAGGTGATAATAATTTTCAACTTGTTATGAAGATTTTTAGGTACGAATATAGATTACAAGAAGCTTAGAGACAAGATTGAATAGGATTATTAACAGTTGCAACGTATGCAAAATACATATTTGATAACCGGAGAAATAGTTTTAAAGGCGAATAAAAGGTGATAATTATTTTCAACTTGATATGAATTACAAGAGGCTTAGAGACGCAGGGATAGAACGAATTACAGGTATGAATAAAATGAGCAAGGAAACAAATCGAAATCAAAATTTTAAACTTGAAATGTAAGTTACGAGGTGTTAATATAGATTACAAGAGGCATTGAAACAAAAAATTACACAGGATGAAAATATAACTGTAAAATAGTTATTCTAAACGAATTACAAGTGTGAGCATGCGGAGCATGGAAACAAACTTAAAATAACTGCTTTTATAACTGAAACATAAATGGGATGAATTAAATGAAGACAAAGAGAAAAAGATGCACACACACACAGCGAACAAAACAAAACAAAAATCGAAGCCTAAGGGAACATACTGAATTAGGTTCATTGTAGTTGTAGAGGTTGGACTAGTTTCTCCTGAACACACAGCTCTGGCTTTTCTATGCACATGGCGAGAGCTTCTGCAGTACAAAGAAGTCGAAAACGCACTGCCTTTGGTAGATCTATGTTTGTCTGTCCTTCACGTTTCTCCGATGTAGTGGGCGGCTAGAGAACATCACTCTTAGAGTTACTTCAGGAAAAGTCTTCAGGGAATTGGAGACTCTCCTTTTAAGGATATCTGCTGCTAAGTCTCCCTTGAATTCTAGATTCAAATTAAATGTTCTCTTTGACACTGAAGTACATTCTTCTCTATTCGGCTTTGGTTTTATGTTCTTCTCTATTTGAACCAGGATGCTTTAAAGAAATCGGATCTCCTCTTCTAAACAGTCATCGCTAGAAATTTTTCTAGTACGGTGGGCACATACAGAGATTTGGCTTGTTTAGATGAATTCCGATCACCTCTCCTATTATGCAAAAGCCACCCTCGTAGACCATGTAAGAGGTTGGCTGAAATACCATAAATAAATTTAAAAGTTTTGTTAGAACCAACTTGATGTTCACAATCGACGAGTTGAGATTGTGTATTGACCCACGTATACCTGTATTCAGACTTCTACGGAATCTAGATGAAAGGTGTTCAGAAATTTAATGATGAACTTATCCGATTATACAGCCAGTGCAGTTAATCCCGCAGGAGTGGTTAAACTGGTAAATACACATGGAATAGGCGAAAGAGAACACTTTGTTTCTTTGTTTCTTGAACTAGTGAATATACAGCATAACATAGCTACATTGAAAGTCCTTTTGAAGGACCTTCCCAGACGTTGTGATTAAACCCTACTATTGACATTATTTGGTTGATATAAATTTTGATGTAAAAACAACTATTTATTTGGAACATAACATTCAGCGAAGAGAACCTTTTCAAAGAATTTACTATCAAACTGTACAATCGTATATATATATATTAAGTAATTATATCCAGTGAGGGAATTAAATTAAAGGCGTGAATGGATGAAATAATTATAATAATATGAAATGCAATTAAAATATTTGTGACTATAATCAAAGTTCAAGTTGCAAAACAAATAATGTCACATATTTAGAATAATTCATATAATGTACAAATGTTTGAAGGCGTTGTATAATTATAAGATTAGTAGACGAATATAAAATGTTACATAACATGGTGTAAAATCCGACAAGATAGAATTCAATATTGTAAAACAAACTTTGGATATAGAATGATAAGTGGAAACAATGCAAAGTGAGAATAGTAATAATTATGTTAATAGTCATAGTAATGAGGAAAATGTATACAGATTAACTAAATAAACAAATTAAATAAATGTCTGTCCCTCAACGACCAAGGCAGAAGTAGGGATTTACATACTTCTTTTGTACACAAACGTGAGACTGGCTTAAATTCATGAATAGCCGTGGACTCCGGTGTCTTTAGAAGTCTATTACGAGGAAAGCGCGGTAAGTTTTCATGGATCCCGTAGATAATCTTAAAATCATGTTCAGGGTTTGTGGGAATAGAGCTTCGCCCACTGTTCCTTTGTCCCTTGTAAAACCTTGCTGGAGTATGTTGTCGTATCCGTGTGGAAAGCGTTCTCTAGCTACGGCCAATAAACCTTGCTTTACAATAGAAGGCGAACTGACAGATCCACATGGAGGCGGTCAAATGGGTGAGTCTATCACTTACAGAGATGGAGAACAACTTTCGGCTGTTGAACGTCATCTGTAATTTTGCTGCAAAGAACGCCTTACTGACAGATTTAGAAAGATGGTTTCTGAGCATATCTGAAGCTTGATAAGTATTGAAACGGAATATATCAGATCGTTCAATCAGTTAAATTCTTATTTGGATGGAGATTTATTTCAGGAGTTCAAATTCTTCTTCTATAGTCTTAGGGGTTACAAATGTGTCAGAGATGTGTGTGTATGTGTGCGTGGTAAGAGACTCACTATAGAAGAAATAGTTACGATATAAGTATAAAACTTGGGCACCCTGGCAGAGGATATCTTCATTATGGATAAGATTTTATTTTGATAAATCACACAGTGTGTTGTACAGTAATATCAACATGAATACGAAAGAACATATAAACTCACTAGTGAAGGGAATAAAATTCACATTTGAATCGGAAAATGAACAAGGGGAATTAACTATATTAGATTGTAAAATAAAACGAATAGAAGAAGGTAAACTGCACACTAGCGTCTATAAAAGGCAAAGGCAACGCATTCTAGTAGATATTTAGACTTTAATTCATCTCATCCGTTAACGCTAAAGGCAGGCTTAGATAAGTGTCTAACAAACCGAGCAGTAGTACTAAGCATCACAAAAAAGACCTAAATGATGAAGTAAAACACACAGAAGAGGCGTTGGTGTTAAATAACTATTCTATAAAATTCATTCGGAATATCATTAAAAGCCAAAAACAAAATAAAAATAAAGAGGAAACTTATAATGAAATCATAAATAAAAGAGAGTATACGGCATCTACCGTTATACCATATAAGGAGGGGACATCTGAGGCCCTACGTAGGATTCTTAATAAGCCAGGAATTGGAGTGGCATTTAAACCTACAAAGTAACTCATGTAGGACAAGCTCCGTAGGCTAAAAGACCCGGTGAACCCAATTAAACAAAATAATATAATTTACAAAATACCCTGCAATGACTGTGAGTTAAGTCAACTACATAGGTCAAACTAGTAGGTCGGGGGTAGTCAGATTATCAGAACATAAGAATTTAGCTAGGGTAAGAATGGTCGACCCCACCACAGAAGATAAGTAATTTAGAGAAAAAATTCAGCTATAGCACCTCATGCATTAACACACAACCACACAATAGACTGGATGCGACAGAGTCAAAATTCTAAGAGGTAATATATAGGTAAATGGTGATAGAAAGAGATTGATTACTGAATCCTGCCTGGTTCATCGAGTCGCCACCCAAAACAACACATGCAGTAGAAGTGACTCGATGCAAATACCAGAGATACATATGGGAGATATTATTACCACCAGTCAGTCAAATCAGAGGAGGGTAATAAATAATGTTAAAATGTATTTCATCAATTCACATTCTAACATACCAACAAGTCACTCATTTTTACTGTAAAAAACATCTTCTATCCCATCAAATTGCATTTTACTGATAACACTAATATTATTGTTATTTCTGAATGTACTTTATCTTACATTACTGATTTTATTCAAATGTCTAATCATCAATTTTTACTCAAGTATATGCATGAAGTAAAAAGTTGTGCGAGTACCTTAATGTAATTATGAGTGGTGATAATTTTTGCTGGAAATGTGGTCATCAGTAAATATTACTGTATAACAAACACTGTATGACTTTATCAAAATAAAATCTTATCCATAATGAAATAGTTACGATAATAATAATTGATTTCCCCTTTTTTTACAGGTTAGACTCTATACTGAATTTTCGCAGAATTATCCAACTATACGCATACGTAATCTGTCAGTTCAAATCGATGACAGTTCACATTCAATACGATCAGTTACAGATGCTGAAACATGCTTCCAGTCTACAGTGAGTCACACACACACAACATGCCTATTTTTGCATTTTTTTAAAATGTTTCGAATCAGCTCAACCGTTTTTTGCATAAAACTATATACTACTGACTAATGGGGATGAGTAGTTGCACACCCCACTTATATAAACCAGTAGTCAATCCTCGCTAGCCAGCCAGCCTGCCTGCCAACCAGATAGAGGTGATCTATCAGTGGTATGCTACTACTTACCTGAATGAACCAGTAGTAAATATTTTCAAGCCAGAGAATAGTTAAAAATTTATGAATTTATGGGTTCGACTGCAAGTCAGAGTAGCAAGATTGGCTGGCTGGCTGGCTGGCTGGCTGGACCTGTTTCTTTTGCACACTAAGCTCCGGTTGATTTAGGCGAACTGCGATGGCCTCTTCTGTTGGCAGTTTTCGGTGTCTAGAGGCCATCAACTTGCTATCCAAATGTCAAAGCAAGATATAAACAAGATATAACGTTTGTCAGCAAACGAACCATAAAACCAAATTTGTGGCATAAAAGAACATCATTTCATTTCATAGGCGTTCTGTTATGTACCTGAAACTACGATGGTCATAACAGAGTGAAAATGACCCTACTTCAGCGTTAGAATGATTTTTATTAGCTCTGAGAATAAAATGTAAGCATGACTACTTTTTAGTTCGAGTCTACACCAGCATAGAAAAACGGGAATGAGTTGAAGACAGGAGACAGAAAACAGAACAGTAAACACTGCTGGGATTACAATGGTTACATTATAACTCAAGAAAGCTATATAGCTCATAGGATTTAGTCCAGCTCAGTAAAATGGAATCCTAGTTTACTAGATCGCCAGTTGTCTAGCCAGTCCTAAGCAAGGGAAGAGAGGGGAGGCTGGGTGTAGGGTCGACTGGAAAATCGATCCAGTCGCTCCTGAGACTTCAAAGGAGATGATTATATAATCAATGCAGTAAAAATCAAAATACACTTACTAAGGAAGTTAAACAGAGGTAAATAGACAGACTCCACCCTCGTTATGTATACATAAGTTTCCTTGGAAACAGTACGTCGCAATCTCTTCAGTAAATCATTGTAAATCTTCCGACAAATTCTCCAGGACTATTCAACAATTATCACAACATCAAAACTTAGGATTATCTCAACAGTGCCGATAGACAGTCATACCGATCCAATAGTTTTTCAAGTACTAAAACAAACACTATAGAACGAAATTGTTCAAGTAGAATTTAACCTTCAGAAGTACCTGAGAATTAGTTAGGATATTCCCATCAAGGTGGAATCAGAACTCTGTCAGCAAGAATCAAACACCAAATAATTCCCACAAACAATTCAACGTCACAATGATGACCTTCACTCACTCAAACAACATCACTGTCGTAAAGCAACACATCGTCAATCTCACCATCAGACATCCACAAAGACAACCATTGAAATTAGAGATGAAACAGGGACAATGAGCAATAATATGGCTGATATCAAAGCAGCTGATATGCGGATGTCAGAACAGTGATATTCAGTCTAGGAGAGAAAAAAGGATGGTAATTACAAAGTTCATCTAAACTTACTAACTTTATTTTCGTTTGACAAATTTAATGTATACACACACAAAATAACCATATATATTGTACAGCTATGAAAATGAATTCGCCGAAAAGAGACTCTTCGCTGAACTACTTGTCTTTTGAATAAGGCATTAAGAAGACAAATTTCACGAGATTACATCGTCATTTCGTAGTTTCTTTACAACCGCTTTACATCTAACATGGTTAACAATGATAAAATAAAGTTCATGAAAATTACTCAGTTAAATAAAAACAAAAGTACATACTAATGACCAATCATATTTAGATAGGTCATGTACTTGTCTTTTGTCTACTAATTACACAGTTGGCAGGAACACCTAAATAATTAGCACTATCGTAACTAGATCACTAGTGAGGGATTTTGCAAACACACTTATTCCGTCACATTCTGTATCCACAAGGTCTCCGATAACTACTCTTTATGAAAATGCTACTTGCTGAATCGGTGGCTCAGCGGTAGTATGCTAACCGACCGCGCAGATGGTACAGGGTTCGATCTCAGGCCACCGACACACTCCTTTACACCTCGCTAAGTCAGTAATAAAACTGATAAAGAGGGAAGGTTCGACATGAGGCTGGCTAGCAACCCCATCCCGTTAAAATTAAAAACACCATTGCTACCGAAACTTCAAGCCTTTAGCTTGAAGCCACCCAATGTTCCACTGAGAAGGTAACAGAAAAAAGATTCTGTTTGCTTGTGGCATAAAATTATTTTGAAATAGACTTAAAGAAACCTAAAGACAAGACTTCCTTTAGGTGTACTTAACACATATTGGCGGGAGATAGGAAGGCAGGGTAACAGATGTCTGCTCCAGTCATTGTAATTTCACGTAATTGGAAATTGTTTAGAACTTGTGAAGTAAAAAGATATGATATACAAAAATTCGCATTGTTTGCTTTCTATTATTGAAATTTATCAAAGGTATCATGTACAACTTTGTTTCTCAAATAGACTTAATAAGTTTAATATGAAGTATGCAGATTATTGATCGATTCACTTGTTTATTTACTTTTTCAAAGTGATCGATAATTGTATTTACGTTTGTGTATACATGTATCAGCTCTTTTTTTAGAATATATGAATTGTTATCTTTCAGTCAGTGTTAGAATTAGTAGTATAAATCTATATCTCACGAAATTTACTAGAAAGTGTTTGGTTGTAGAGGTCTGATTGGTTTCAAGTATGAGTGCGTGCTGATATTAGGTTGAGAACCGGTGAAAACCAGTATGGAGTACTAGACAACTGTTTCATCCCAAACAGGGACTCACCAAAATCCCCCACCCAGTAGGGTTCGAAGCCGGAACCTTGCGGTTTCAGACTATTCAGTCACTGTGACCCCATTCAGCATCCCATGAACTCCAACTTCTACCGCAACCACCAGGCAATGTCATCGGCGACTATTAACGCTCATTCCACACTTAGACGAAGCAAGTGTTCAGTACTATCAGGTTTTCTTATGGTTCTTTAACGGTTGTTAGCCTATGATGAAATCTTTTAACTCATATATTCCTTAAATACTCCGTAATTTCGAGAGTATGGATACTGAAGAAAGAAAGAATTCTCTTTTTGATAACTTCATCATCAGGCTCTACAGTTATATATACATAATAGTAGTGAATGAATTAGTATTAGGAACAACATTAGTGCTTAAACAACAGTGAATCAATAATAATATCAATAGATTACAGTTCAATAGCATCAACATAACAATAAACTGAATGTCAGAAAGATTAGGAAAGATAATATTACAAATTCATTAATTTATAGTCTCTACTGAAGGCCAGCCAGAGCAGTAGTAGTGGCTAGCTGGATTCGCTTCATTTGCACACAAAGCCCTGATTGTTTGAGGTGAATTACGATAGCCTCTGTTGTTTGGAGTATGCGGTACTTCGATGTTTTTGGCAATTTATTTGGCCTCCTGTAGATGATAAAGAAGAATTCATCAATGCTCTGGCTTTGTGGCCGATTTGAACTAAATGGTATAATATCGAACTTTTGATGGCTTTTACTACACATTTAATTAGCCATACTGGAAGATGCTCTCGAGTAACGATCGATGTAACTCAACCTACAAGCGCAGTTGAATTGGTAAATACAATTAGAAGTGGCTACCTTGTCTAGGTACTTCATCTTTCAATCGTGGCATCCCCATCGATCGTGTAGAGAATAAGACATGTAGTTTACCGCCATTAAAGGTTGTTCGAACTGATTTTCTTAATTTCTTCGTAATTATTTCGCTTGATATATCTCCCTTGAATTGCAGTCGTATGAATAAAGGCTTCTTGTTTGCAGATATTGAACAGTCTTCACTCTTCCAAAATTGTGCATTACGCAATCCACTTATTTAATTTCAGCAAGTATTTTTACCCATTAATTGTTTGTATTAATTTTTTCGATTGATTATCACACACCTTACTTGACTGTTGATACTGACTAATTATTGTTAACGGAATCCTCAACAGTAGATTGGTAAATTTTACTCGGTATTGTATTAAAAACAACATTTCATTTTGTTCAGAATTATGACTTTGAGAAAAATGTTGCGTCATTCCCGGTGAGATAGTTGTTGGCAAACAAATCCTCGTTTGATATTTGCCCAATCTATTTCACTCTTACCGTAGGTGTGACATCTGGCTGATTCTTTAAATATCCCCATTATTAATATTAGAACAAGACGTATAAGTGAACAATATTGTTATAAAATTGGTGGATGGTGGCTAGCAGTGGAATCCAGGATGCGCATTTCGTCCTAATTCGGACTCGTCAGCTGGATGTACCTGCATTTCTCAGTGAGTGATGATGTTCCCACCGAGGCTCGAACCCAGTACCCATAGTTTCAAACGCCAAAGCGTTATCCAATAGACCACTTGGGCCTCAGTGGGAACACCATCACTCACTGAGAAATGCAGGTACATCCAGCTGACGAGTCCCAATTAGGACGAAATGCGCATCCTGGATTCCACTGCTAGCCACCATCCACCAATTGTATACTAATTAAATCCCCAGACATCGTCGAAGCATCTGCACAAGAAGCCGACATGTCAACCTGAGACCGAGCACTTCGGTCCAATCAATCGACGGGAAAATCAAAAATTCAATTCAATGAACAATATTGTTGTTTTCAATTAGATCTTCTTATTCAGGCTTTACTCTAATTTACATAGATTAATTTGTAACAATTCTAACCAATGATGGTGATTTTGTGGATCAAATCATAATAATAATGTGGTAAATGTTTTGAACGTCAGTAATAACGATGATTATAGTGATAACATTAACGAAGGTAGCAATATGTTTGTGCATGTAGACAATTCAATAAATAAATAAATAAATTAGGTCAATTCCTAAAAGTTTCGTAATACTAAAGGTAGGTGAAGTGGGCAGATAATCAGAGTTTAAATAAATATCACCAAAGTACGAGTGAC